GTGCCTCCAAACGAAGATGCCTCCAGGAAGCCTGTAACGGCGCGCAGGATGTACAAGTGCCAGCTGTGCTTGATTTCGGACTGACAGAATGCGATAATGGCCCAAATGATCTGCAGAGAAGGCAGCAAGAATGGAGCACTGAATACAGTCAGCTTTTACGTGTTTTGGGTCTTGTGTCTTGAGAGGCTCGCACATCTTCGCTTTGGTTTGAAGGGTCATCAGCGGAATTTGTCCAATGACATAAGCCGTGTTGTCTTATCCAATATCAGCATGATCAAGTAGGTAGGCGAAAGGTTTTGGAACTTACATGCCACGACGTAGTAATTCAGCTCATTGCCCCACGCATTGAGGTCTTCCCGCATGCCCGAGACATAAGCATTCGTAACATTTTGCTGTCCAAGAAACTGTCGCAATGTCAGTTCGACTCAGCCACTGTATCAGGCATCGATTGTTAGATCACTTACTCTGCAGAAAAAACTCAAGCTTCCAAAGACGAGAATAGCCAAGTCCAATTTTCTCAGCAGCTTCCGCTCCGCGGCAGGGTAGTGAGACGCTGGAAACTTTGTCAGGGTAACTTCGACAAGCAATCGGCACCGACGACTTACGGTACCAGTCAAACACTGACAATACCACAGCTCCCACCTTATTCTTGTTTACCGCCCGAAGAATAGCCCCCATGTTGGTCGATGTGTGCCGAAATGGTCTGCTGGAGAGTCCAAAAGGCACAGCTCCTTCGGCTTTACAGCTTGCCCGACGTTTTATACGTACACCCAACTCTTCGAGGTAGGTTACTACCCAATTTTCGTTATGTGAGCAACTTTATAACGCTCATTGCCACTTCAGCACCCTTGCAAACGCCCAGAACCAGCGGCCTGCAGTCCGCGATAAGCTTGCAGAGCTGCAGCTTTGCAGACCTCTCCTCCGGACTTCATCCGCCGAGACCCGACCACTTGCAGCAAGCACGCCTCTTCGCCCACTATTCGCCATTATGCCAGGAATGACGATTATGCTTCACCAACTCGGGGTGTCCAATGCTTCTGGGGAACGACGCGGGTTTGCGGAGACTGCACCATGCAGATAATCTCCGAAACGGTATGGGGGGCCATCGTCTATCGAATCGTGAGTCGGACAAAGCATCATCCCGCCGAACTCGGGGTCCTTTTACCGGCGGGAGCACATCATACGGAGCTTGCTTACCGTGTACGCGGGGGTTTTGGGGGGTTGCTACGGTTCTTTTCCGGCGCATCTACCGGCGAGGGAGACGACGTTGGCGGACCGGGGTCGGTGTGGTGGGGATTGCGCCATCCGTTATCAAATGATGACATGCGACGATCTCGCATCCCCAACGGCCTCGGCCATATGACTTGGCCAATTTGCTTAGTGATGCCGCGGGGTAGACTGCAAGTGTGTGACCATGAAGACAATTGAGTCAAATCAACGTCGCGTTATTGGACGTGGAGGTCGTGGTGTGCGGAGTAAAGGCCGATGGAGGGTTCAGGGGGGCCGGACTGGACTTCCGGCGAGATGCCGTCCGGAGTCGCAACCAAGGTTAATACTTAAAATGGCGATCTCAGAACCCTTGGAGTCTGAAAAGTCAGAGCTTGCATCAGAGATCAGCCCGCCTTCCCAAGAAAAGAGACCCCGCCTCACCGCCCGCCTAACATGCCTTCTGCTGTGTCTGAGTTGTACCAGTACTCCCACGTCCCCGAGACGGAGGAGAACCTCGATTGGGCAGACCGTGAGTTTTAATGATGAGCTTATGCAGGGAATATTTTGCTGACTTTCTGACGCGATGCAGTCCCCACCATTGACCTTGCCAAGTACAGAACACCAGAGGGCAACAAGGAACTTGCCCAGACTTTGATCGAAGCTATCCGCACCAAGGGTTTCTTTTATGTCATCAACTACGGCATCTCACAACAAGAAGTCGACAAGCAGTTCGCTCTAGGCCAGAAGTTCTATGAGCTCCCTCTTGATGAGAAGCTCAAGTATGAGCCCAACCTTGATTCCGGTGACTACAATGGATACCGTCCTGCGGGCAGGCGGTTCCTGAGCGGTGGAATTAAGGACAAGACCGAAGTTTGGAACATGGCGACCAAGGATGGCCACATTACTCAGCCTCTGCCCAAGCTTTTGGAGGAGCGTAAAGAAGAAATTGAGGGCTTCGCCAAGGTAAGGTGCCCGTCTGCTCATCTCCGGCCGCATGCTAATTCATGTTGAAAGGACTTGCATGACAAGGTCCTGGATCCCTTGAACCACCTCATCGCTCTTGCATTGGAGCTTCCAGAAGACTTCTTTACTCGTGTTCACAAGTGGGATGTCCATGACGAGTCTCATCTGCGATACATGAAGTACTCCAAGTTCACACCAGAGGAGATTGAGAAGCTCGATGACGGTCTTTGGTCTCGTGGCCACACCGATCTCGGCACCATCACCCTTCTTTTCCGCCAGCCAGTGGCCGCGCTGCAGATCAGGGATCACGAGACCGGCAACTGGAAGTGGGCCAAGCCTCTTGACGGCAGTCTGACTGTCAACACTTGCGACGCCTTGAGCTTTCTGACTGGCGGTTACGTCAAGTCTACCGTTCATAGAGTAAGCTATCCACGATCACTTTGCACAATTGTCGTACTGACTCTTCGCGAAGGTATCTGTTCCCCCCAAGGACCAGCGCCATGTCGACCGCCTGGGTCTTCTGTACTTCGCCCGTCCCCAGAATGATCTCACGCTGAAGACCATTGACTCTCCGGTCTTGAAGCGCGAGGGATTCACCCAAAACGAATTCGAGGCTGGTGGCCACAGAGTCCCAACAATGGGCGAGTTCACAACTCTCAAGCAGACATGGCAGCAGAGAAAGGGCGTAAGCTACCAGTCGTCCGAGGGCCAAGAGATTCTGCCTGGTTTCAAGGGCCAGTACTTCCAATAGTTAGACAACAGTGTTGTAAATGTAAAGGGAAATTTCATTGGCCTCTGCTAAGCAGAAGAGCCGTATGACAACAATATGGTATATACAAGCTTTCTGTCGTCAATGATGCGTCCAAAGTAAGTAGAGAGACCAAAGTATTGATGCTAAGACGATTCTTCAAGTACGCGAAGTCTCGCTGTCATCATTCGCCTGTTTCTGTGTGTTCCTTCGACAGGGGGCTTAGCACGACGCGACAACGGTCGCCGTGCCCGTCACTCCATCTAAGGGTCCGTTGGTAATTGCAAGCTCGCATGATTTGCTAATGGTGTACTGGACGTATGGCCCTCCGCTCGGCAACCTGACGCCCGCACTCGCACTTCCTTGCGAGCAAGAACCAGCAGTGCCTCCATTGATGGAGTCTTCGAACTGAACAAGACAGCTGCCGTCGGTGGTGCCATTGGTTGGGGCGGCATGGGCGAGTGCAGCGAAAAGAGAGGCGAAAATGAGGACGAATCCGGCCATCGCTGGAGAGCCTTTGTAAGTATGAAATTGAAATTGAAACCAGGAGTGGATGTGCAAAACTATACATACTGGATGTTGTGGACGAGCCGAGACCAAGAGGATAGTTAGCGACAGTGATGTTTCAACGCGTCAACGAGCGAGTGTTTGTTGTGAGAAAGCTTAATAGGGATGACCTTGGGACGAACCGTTTCTTGTTGTAGAGCTCGGAGTCTTAAATATCTACCAATGGCCAAGAGCTAAGCTCAGTCAGTCGATTCATCGCCAGGGGGCCAGCCAGCCTCTAACGGCGATCATGAGGCGTGTCATTCTAAGTTGAGAGTGGAATACTCCTATTTGAATCGAGTTGATTGTAAACCCCGGTCGCAATCCACTATGAACACCAATATTAGGTTCAGTAGGCGATCATTTGGTGTACAGTCCAATGGTATGACTCGTCACGGCATTTAAGGGGCATTCATAGCATGATAAGATATAGCTTGGCTCCCGCGTATGCAATTCCTATTTCGTCGCGATAGGAAACTTCCTTGTTAAGCATTCTAATGCCTGCGCTTCGAGTATCAAGAAGCAGAAAGTACGCTCGACTGGATTGATTGATAACATGAGCGCGTGACAACAACACCAGTTAGCCCAGCTACGTTCACTTATTCAGGTGCATCCAAGCGACCGCAAATGTTCTTGAGCAACGACATGCCGAGGCTTTCAATTGTAAGAACGCAGGGGGGACATGCAACCCAAAACGTCCAATTGCATGCAGGCTGTCATACTCAATGCTATCATACGCTCTCATCCGGTATTTTCTTCCTGTGGTAAAGCCGACTCCACGAGGCGAAGGATCCGAGATTGTTTGTGCTGCTCTCAGATACCCGCTCTTCTTGGGGGTCCTGCTCAGCTGTTACTGCAGGCTTTTCATCGTCTTCTTGGCCGTCACCTTCCCTTTCGTATTTTTTGGCCGTTGCGTTCATTCTCTCAACCCTGTCTCGTCGACGTTTCTGCCTCACTTCCCCCTTCATCTCAGCAACTTCCTTTTCGAGACTCTCCAAAAGATAATAGCTTCCAAGGTTCTTAAAGCTGTCCCCATACGCTAACCAGCAATAGTAAGCTCCAGACTTGACTAGGAGCCAGGTCTCTAGCATTTTGTATGCCGACCAAAACAACGCTCGAGGGAACTTCCAGAACGCGAATGAAATAGAGACGACAATTACTGCAGCAGAGATCGGGACTGTCGTCAAAGATCTTAGAATGTCTTTTCTGCGGCATGAAAGAGAAGGGCACTCACACATGAAGTTCGCCTGGTCTCGAAACGTCATCTTTGTATCTCCAATGCTTGAATTGTTCATGCCAAAGACACTAGACATGAAGGATAGCGGAAGCTGACATGTTTTAGTTTGAATAGATCATAGCTGTACGCGTGATTCTTACGAAAACGACCGTCACAATCGTGAAAACCATGATTGTTCTGCCGTGTTGAAGAGTCTCAGACGCCTCCTCCCCAGCCTGCCAAGCCTGTAGAATGCTCGCTTGTTGCATGATAATATTGTGAATTTCGTCGATCTATTGGCAGGAAGTTAGAAGTTTATTAAAATAGCATAATCTGCAAATTACTTGCATCTCGTGATGTGGTTTCAGCAGTCTTCATCAAGCTATCAAGCTCCTCAATTCTATCGTCAATCTTCGAAACAAGGCGCTCTGCTTCAGAGTGGAACCAATTGAAGAGGTCTTCCGCACGCTCAGCGTCGGACATTGTGGGTTCATCATCCGATAAACTATCCAGACTCCGACCAGGACTTATGAACGGTCCCTTGTCTGATGAATGACCATGTGGATTCAGTATGGCCTCGGCATGTTCCTGAAATCGCCTCAAGATGATTCGATGTTGCTCACTCATTCGGATCATGATGTTGAGCTCGTCGATAACTTTCTTGATGTCGTCTAGGAACAACCCTTGGAAGTTGACTTGTATGATGCTGCGTACGATATATTTGACGCTAGAGGAACTATTACCAAGAGATAATGAAGTCGATGCGGTCATCATTCGAAGGTTTTCTCGTAGCACTGTTTGTCGATGCGCCTATGGCCGTGGTAAGTCTCCCCAACAACATGAAGGAACCGAAGGGAAGTGTGGATATTTGGTCTGGACGTACCAGGTTGCTAATCGTCTCCGTAAATATGTCGAGAACTCGGGGTTTCTTGTTCTGCCACCAGTCAGAATCCTATTGGCCATCCTGGCAAGACTTGTTTACCGAATCGAGTGAGTTACTCAGGAGGCCGTTCGCACATTCGTCGAAAATGATCAGTCCTAAGTCAAAAACCGATCGAATTTTGTTTTTGGTGGCACTTCTTATACGGTCTCGAATGGACCTGTGCACGTCGAATCCGTTTTCATCCCTACCGTAGTTGCCAGGGAAACTTGTGATGATGGTTTGTCCGTCGAGGATCCACATCCAAAGCTGATCAACCATGATAAGCTTCCCGACCTTCCCAATCTCCCTTCTGCAATGATCGCAGCCGTCAACGTCTGTGCTTTTCCAATGGTTATCCCATCTGAAGTTTCCTAGCCCTTTGGGTCTGTGATTGCAACCTCGCAGATCTTCTGGTGTTTGAGGATGCAGGACTTTGTCCATGACGGTCTTCTTGTTGACGCAGTTCCAAGCCCCCGGACAATGACGCTCCCACTCCTCACGAAATCTGTGCATGTTTCTGCTGTCCATAGTGGTCCCTTTAAATACCACCTGAACTTGATCACGAGCCTTTGTGGTCTTCAACGCCAAGTAATAGGATTGGTCAAGGGTTCGTCGAGGATGTATCGGGGGGTTGTGGTGGAGGTAGTCCTCCAGAAGTGTTTGATCTCTATGCATTGTGATTGCGTCATAAAGCCTGGCAGCATCGAGAAAGAATTGCCCAAGTTTGGTCACGGCAAGGATCCGACCGTGCTTGCTGCTCTCCAACTTTGCCACGTACCAGATCTTTCGACCATCTGTATGGTACTCATTCTGGATAAGCCCACCTGGAGCGAGGCCCCCCGCCAACTCGTTGAAGGTGCGCTGGGACCTTCCACTCGTTCCTCCAAATGCGTTCTTTTCCCAGGCCTCTCTGATTTTCTTGGCGTGCATGGGATCTTCGTCTGAATGATCGAGATATTTGGTGGTGTGGAGTGGTTTCCCGTTGAGAGTTCGTTCCTGGATCCTGGCGTCCTTCCTCCTTTTTGTATCGGTCTCGCGCTTTGTACGACGCTTTGACGTCTCATCCTCAATGATCCTCGCAACTTTCTCACGCTTTCTGTCTTCTTCCCAGTGAAGGTATGGCATCTAGATATTTGTCAGGCCACTCCGCTCTTCTTCTTTCTTTCTCTTCAGAAGAGTATCATGCCACAGTCGACTTACGAAAAGAACCAGGTTTGCCGGGTTATCCTCCGAGTCCCATAATTCTGTTTGATTTCAGCAACGGGCTCAACAGAAATTGCGATAGAAGACTCACCTGCAGATATTCTTTCACACATGGGCCTCATATGACGAGCGTGTACCATACTGTGCCTGCCTGCATGCTGCTGGCCCCTCCAGTACTCAGGACGGAGGATCATATGACTCCTTGTCTTGACAGGAGGGTCTCGATAGAGACTGCCATGATCCGGCTTGTCATCCCGGAAATACCGTGCGATGGCCCTCTAGCCTACAGGTTAGCAAAGTTCAATCCAACCTCCAATTTGTTTCTGTTTACCTCAATCCACTGGTAAGGCTCGGTCAGTCTTGTTACTTTACACTATGGGTAGAGGCACAACTCACCTCCATGTTGTTGTCAGGGATGTGAATGTACCGCACCCTGTTTTTATTGCGCATTTTGTCGAGGACCACATCGCCCTTCTTCGGGATGGAAGGCTTTTCTTCCAAGAGGTACTGAAGAGAAAGCCTCTGGTCCGGGAAGTGCCCCTTGAATCGATAGTCTACGGCGATATCTTCTTCAACAGATTTGAGATACTTCTCGGGACCGGAGGATGACTTGTAAAATGATCCTCGTAACGTGTTGCCCATCTTCCGCCGCCGCCAACCTTTTTGCCCGTCCTCCAGTCTGAGTCCACGCAGCGACTCACGGATAATTTCGTCTTGAGGCTCCAGGAACTCGGATGTGAGGAATGTTGGCGTCGATCCGTGCCAAGGACGGTGCTTAGACCGAGAGTTATCGCTCTTCGTTGGTTCATGGTCAAATTCGCTATCAGTGTCGTAATGAACCCTTTCGCGTCCGATTATGTCCCATTGGATCACATAGCCATTGATGTCTCTCTCCAGCTCATATTCTCCAGGCTGCGTGTCCTCTTCGAACGCATTCTCTCGCGTCTTTTCAATAATTCTTCGCACGGCAGCACGCCCTGGATCCAAGTCGGTGTCTTCAGCTGAGTGTGAGTCGGCTCGTTCTTCAGGCTGGTTCTTCCATCGGCGAATTTCCCTAACCCCCTTTTTGAACTCATCGCTATTCTTCCAGTCGGCATGACTTTGGTTCAGACAATCAACCAAGTTGCAGTCTGGAGGACGCTCACCCGGAAACTTTTCTAACTCTTCAACCGTTAGATGTGTGCAGCCAGCGCCTTCAATAGCCTTGCGCAAGATGTCGGTTCTTTTGTACTGTGCCTCTATTGACACGGCCAGACTCAGAATCTTCTTGCTAATTTTCTTCTCTGCGCTTTCTCTGAAGTCCTTGATTTTGCTCCCTTTTCTCCCGTTCTCCTGCCTCAGCTTTATCTCCTGCAACTTCAACTCTTCATCCCAAAGAGGGTTGGACCTATCCAGAAATTGAGGACGCTCGGAAATCTCGATGCAGCCAGAGTAATGGGCAGAGAAGTCTCGAATAACTTCTGCGCCGTGAGGTTGCGCTGAGAGGCAGGTTGGTTTAGAGCCGCGGTCCCCCATCGCCTCTCCTCTCTGGTTGCCTCAGCGTGGTGAACGAAGTCGGAAAAGCATACAACTGAAGTCTAGGCAGGTGTCCGAAATTTGACTGATCCCAAAGGCCAGGTTGTGGATCTTTGAGGTCAACTGAATGGGCGTGAGGGGTTTAAGAGACCGAACCTTGTTGGGGGCCAAAACGCCGCTCGGAACCAAGTCGCGGTTTTCTCGCACATCCTTGACTAAATCGAACAATGGGTGGTCAGATTCAAGACAAGGTGGTCGATTTCGCTGTAGCACAACCCAATCACAGCCTGCTTGTGGCCCTTCAGCTCCGGCAGGCTGCAGCAACATGCCTCGATCCCACCGTGATGAGCGGGGAAAGCTGTAAGCCGGGGTTCGATTTCATAGGCGAGAGAATTTTTGGGAGCAATGTGGCAGATAAGAGGCGCTCAAAATGTCCGTCATATTTAGCAATACGACAAGCAGCTAAGATTATGTGCGGTCACACAGAGACCAGAGTACTGTACCCGACAACTCAGCCTCGGCTAACTAAGCTCAATTCGAACTTGATGGGCGATTATCCAGTACATACTTCCTTACTATTTCGCGAAATTGACGTACGGAAGCCATTCTTGGCAATATCAGGCTGTGAAGCTTCATGGAGTCTGCTGCAAGGGAGATGGAGTATTGGCAAAGGTGGGCTCATGGCTCTGCAGCCACCCCTGTCTGTGATCGCTTAACGAGGACGTCTTTGCGAGACGATCACCCATTAACGGCATCAAGTCCGTTAAGCAATCGCATCAGCTCGGAAGGCCACAAATATGGCTGGCTTGCCCCTCTCACCCCGTGGCAGTAGTTCCTCATTTCTGCGGGGCGGCAGCCTGATCCAATGCTTGTTCTAACATCTTGGGATGGGGACCGGTCTAGGCAGAAGAATAAGCCTGCAGAGATAGCAAGAGTGCCACAGTAGGACGATAAGACGAATGAATTCCAGGGTTTAGGGCTTGTTGTTGAAGAGAAAGACGCTGGTTCTTGCGCAGCATGTGCGGTGAATTGGGGTGAAGAAACCTGAGATGAAGCTCAGTGTGTTTGCGGCGGAGGGTACTCAAGCTCAGAATTGGGCGAGCAAGTCAACATCCAGAGATGGATTCAACCTGGCCGGTTGGCCCAATGGCAAGGCGTCTGACTACGATTCAATCGCGCTATCAGGAGATTCTGGGTTCGACCCCCAGGCTGGTCAATTCTTTTGCATTTTGGTGCGGTGCGATTTTTTTTCGTTGCGGGTCCGGCCTAAAATCGGGCCTGCCGGGGCCAGGGGTTTTTTTTTTTTTAGAGTTCCGGCCCGGTATTGGCTGCTGATCGCCGTAGCGCCGAAAAGTGAAATGCGGGATGCCGGGTCATCAAGTGCCGATTTCTGCTACCGAATGGCAGAGAGTTGTATAATTTACGGATGGCCGAACTCAATAAACATGAGAGCACGATGGCGCAATGATAGCATCTGATAGACCTCATTAAATTGTCAACAGCCGCAGATTAGGTTACGTTGTTGTATGAGTAAATTACCTGGAGTCGGCGATTATGGAAAGTCGGGGGCGGGTCCACGAGGTCCGGATGTATCGATGTCCCGGCTGGATAAAACTGACTAATACTCATGCCCTGATCTTCAAGTGACATTCCCATTAACTTATTGTCTTCATTGTCGTTATTCTTATCATTGCCCATGGCCAGTCAATATGCTCAAAGAGACGAACAAACACACATGCCCGGGCAAAAGTGCCGCCTCTGACTACGACAACCATGAGAGCATTGAACTGACGTCAAATGCTCCTCCGAAGCTCCCGTCCACTAAGCACGTAATCAAGGACCGAGCTCCCACCTCCCGGGAGCTCTGGGAGCTAGACCGCGAAGCTTATTTCGACGACAACGGCCCCGCGATTCTCGGCCGCCGCGAGCTGTTCGGCTTCGGATCCAATCTGCCCCCTGGCGATGCGACCTTCCAGATTACCCCTCCAGAAACTCTAATAGATATCTAGCTATCTAATCGCCGCAGCTGGGATTGAAACGACCGCATAACAGCGCAGGCTTAGTATGGAGAGCCCGTTTGATAAGGGTGGTTTTCAGATGACGAGTCATGAAACAGAACATTCGGAAGTTTGTTGCCCTGTTGCAGGAGCTACGTCCGAAGTCGATGCCCCGCGATTTGAAGTTTGAGGGTAGTATAAAGTAGCTCTCATATCTCCGAGCCCTACGCATCTTGTCCTAGGAGCAAGAGAATCACGAAAAGGGTTTATCAGATCTCGAGAACCAACATCCAAAATGCCACACCGCGTTCTCCTCACCGGCGCAAACGGCTTCATCGCCCAGCACATCCTCGCCCAGTTCCTCGAGACAGGCCACTCCGTCCGCGCCGTCGTCCGCTCCCAGTCCTCCGCCGACCAGCTTAAAGCCACCTTCGCCGCCTACCCCTCCCCACAGCTCGACTTCGCCCTTGTCCCCGACATCGCAGCCCCGGGAGCCTTCGACGCCGCCCTCGTCTCCGACCCGCCCTTCGACCTCGTCCTGCACACCGCGTCGCCCTTCAACTTCCGCGCCGGCAAGTCCAACAAGGACTTCATCGACCCGGCCGTCAAGGGCACCACCGAGATCCTGCACGGTGTGCTGCGCAAGGGGAAATCCGTCAAGCGCGTCGTCATCACGAGCTCCATGGCCGCCGTCATCGACGGCGCCGCGCCGCCCGTGACCTCCCCGCCAAAGATCTACTCCGAAAAGGACTGGTTCAAGATCTCGCGCCACGAGGCCGAGACCACGGACAACCCCGTCATCCCCTACGTCTCCTCCAAGATGTTCGCGGAGAAGGCCGCCTGGGAGTTCCTCGTCGAGAAGCAGCCCCCCTTCGACATCGCGACAATCAACCCGCCGATGGTCTACGGGCCCATGCACGACGCGTCGTACCTGAAAGCCCCCGCGGAGCTGAACCAAAGCAACTTCAACCTGTACAGCTTCTTCCTCGGCCCCGGACTGACGGAGACGAGTGCCATGCCGCCGGAGCAGCTGCACCTGTACGTCGATGTGCGCGACGTGGCGCGCGCGCATTTGTTGGCGGCGACGAAGCCGGCTGCCGGCGGGAACAGGTTTGTGGTGAGCCCCGGCGGGGTCTCGCACCAGCAGGTCGCGAACTACTTCAGGGAGGCATTGCCGGAGCTGGCAGGGAGGATACCAAAGGGCGACCCGGAGAAGACGGCGCTGCCGGAAGGCATCTTTGGGGTTGACTCCTCGTCGGCGAAGAGGCTCCTGGGGCTGGAGTATACGGATCAGAAGAAGACGTTCACGGATGTTGCGAAGCAGTTTTATGAGATTGAGAAGCGGGCGACGGCGGCTTGAGGACTGTTTCTAGGGTGTAGTTTGCATGAGAACAAATGAACAGCGTGATGACCCCTCTTCAGAGAGACTGCATACTTTTCTACCTAGCAGTGGTAGAGCGACTATTTTTCCTGTCTTATTACAGCTGACGTCATCTAGACGCCTCTACCGTCTTATAGTTTGCTGCTCCCGGCTTTTGAAAACTGCAAGCTCTTAGTGTAGCTGTACGAAAGCAGCCCCTGCTTGCCCATCTCTCCGCCGATGCCGCTCTCCTTCTGCCCCGCGAAGAAGCCGCCCGGGTGCGGCTGCTCGGGCATGTTGATCCACACGGTGCCGGCCTCGAGGGACCTCGCGATGCGTTCAGCGCGGCTGACGTCTCTGCAGTAGACCGAGGCGCCCAGGCCTGCGTTGCTGAGGTTCGCTCTTTGGATCACGTCGTCTTCGGTGGACCAGGAGAGGACGGGGATGATGGGGCCTTGACGAGACGTTAGCAGTGTATTAAGGTAGGGGGATTTTGAACTCCATCGACTTACCAAACTGCTCCTCTCTCACGAGCATCGAGTCTTCCGGGGGGTTGACTACAATCGTCGGCGGCACCCAGAGCCCCTTCCCATTCAGGGGATTCTCCGCCGCGACGACGTTATACCCATTCTTCTCACAATCCCTCACAATCTCCTGCACAACCTCATACTGCGCCTTATTCGACACCGGCCCAAACAAACTCGGCGCCGCCGCGTCCCCATTCACCGCAAATGCCTTCTGCACCTCCTTCGTAAACGCCTGCAAGAACGGCTCGTACACGCTCTCGTGGACATATACCCTCTTCGTCGCCACACACATCTGCCCCGCGTTGAAAAAGCACCCCGTCGCCACCTTCCCCGCGGTCTCCGCCACATCCACGTCCTCGGTAACCACACACGCATCGTTCCCCGCAAGCTCAAGCGTCAGCCTCTTCAGCGTCCTCGCGCAGCTCTCCATCACGCGCTTCCCCGTCGCCACCGTGCCCGTGAAGCTGATCTTGGCGATGCCCGGGTGTGTCGTCATCGCGGCGCCGAGGTCTGCGCCGCCGTTGAGGACCTGCACGACGCCGGGGGGCAGGACGGGGATCAGCAGCTCTACGGACTTGAGGACGGAGTAGGGCGTGAAGGGGGAGGGCTTGACGATGACGCAGTTGCCCGTGATGAGGGAGGAGACTATTTTGATGTTGGAGAGGATGAGCGGGAAGTTCCAGGGGCAGATTGCGCCGACGACGCCGAGCGGGGTGTGTGTCGCGACGATCTTGAGGGAGGCGTCTTCGAAGGTGACTTCGTCTTCGAGATGGACTTTGGCTTGCAGGTTGTGAGGATCTGGGAGGTGTGAGGGGGTTGGACGGGTACGTACTGTAGTAGAGAGTCTGTTGGCAGGTGTTTCCGATTTCGATCTCGGCCATGAGAGTCTGAGTGAGCGTTAGTTAGGTCACCGGTGTAGCTTATGTTGGGGTATCTCGCCGATTTGCCCGTCTCTTTCATGACGATCTCCATGAGCTCCTGCTTATTCGCCGTAAAGACCTCGACGATCTTGCGCAGGTATTCCGAGCGCTCCTCGACCGAGGTTTTGGACCATGTCTTCAGCGCCTTCTGAGCTGCCTCAACAGCCTCATCGAGGTCCCTCGTCGTAGCCAGAGGAGCGTCCCATAGCGGCTCTTCGGTGCGGGGATCGATGCACTGGTGGTTGTTGTCGCTGCTTCGGCGCTGACCGTCGATAACGTTGAAAAACTTCATCATGAGATATTCGCACCGAATTTAAATTCACGTATCCTGAGGGCATCGTAATTGAATCCCATGATAGCACCGGAGCTGGATATATCTACAGCATTCACGGGTTATTCCACACCCTCCGTTGCCGGAAACGTGCTTAGTACTCGCTGACCATTGCCACGGAATCCCACAATGCTACCATGCTCCTGCGGAGAATGAGGGGTTCTGCCCAGTCGGCGACGCCATCCAGCGCGTGGGATTCCGGAATTGGCACCGGGAGGGCGTGGAATGCTGGTTAAGGTTTGGCGGCAGTTGAGATGGGGCTAGGAGAGGCGCGCGCCGGTCTGCATCTGGCAAACTCTGTCTTTGTTTGCGGGCGGGAGATAGGATGAAAAGGGAAGGGGAGCTGTCGAAAGTCGCAATCTCAACTCGACAATAAGAAATCTGGAAGAGGGGCATGCGGGGGCCAGCAAGGGGTGCACACTCTCCAATCGATATCATCACTTCAACGTTAGCTACGCTACTGAATAGGCCTAAATAATCTCGAAATTGTTCTTAAAGTAGCCCGAAGCTCAAGGAATTTTATAAATGTAAATTCTAGACGCTTAGGTATCCTTTGTTGTGGGTAGTTAACTGTGAGTAGAGGTGGGAAGTTGTGCTGCCTTGGCATACCTGGGCCCGCCCGTGGTACATGTCTAATTATGAGACCGCCTAAATTTCTTATGTCTGCGCAGCTATGTTTCCTGCGTACCTATCTATCGGCGATAGTAGCAATAACGATAGCGATAATAAGGATAGTGAAGATGATAGTAGTAATAGTAAAAATGACGACGAAGACGACGAAGACGATGAGGACGATGAGGACGATGAAGACGATGGTGATGATATAAACGAAGACGATAGCAACGATAGAAATAAAGACGATAGAAGTAATAATAATAATAACTAAACTATAAAAAGGAGTCGCTCTATTATAGGAAAAATAGGCGGTCTCTTAATTATCATCTAGATATGCAGCCCTCTTGCTCTCTTGATGAGCTAAAGATTCTTAAACATTATGGCTTTAAAAGCATCTAATCTCTAAGATTTTAGTGCTCCTAGCAAGCCTGTAACCAGAAACCTAACAGCATAGTGATCGTCACTAGCTTCTCTTCAACTTCTCATTCATTAGTCCCTTATGACAAAGACCAAGACTCGATACGCATGTGCAAGTATATAAATATTCCTATACCACCCGACAGTATGTATATCCACGCAACCACAATTCGCGTGGTAGGATCTATCTAGGTCTGATTTGAGGCTGGGCTCTCTGCAGTCAAGCTATTGTTACCTTGGTGTAGGCTATGCTGTGTCACAGGTTTTCCCAGGGGCCAGCTCATACTACATCGGTATTATTTCAGTATTCTTCACCGATGTCTAGTTATTCTACTCATAATGATCAGTAAACGCTAGCAAAAGATTTTGGCTGAGCCACCTCTCAATCAAATATTCAAGTGCTGGCAAAAGTGCTCCGGTCCATCAATCATGAAATTTGCAGAGCGGGGGGTTCCAACACATATTTCCATCCTAGGGCAATGTGATGAAGTTCGGGCAGCGAGTGGGAAGGGTGGAAGCGTCCGACGAGACGGAAGCGGAGCCGGCCGACAGAGGGGCCGCTGCGAACCGGCGCAGGGCGCTGCAGGGGGATGCACAGGGCGCAGGACGAGCCCGGCCGCCCATCCACCAGCGGCGGCTCTCCACGAAATCCGACGGCGGCGAGGCCAGGCGCTGGAGGAAGGAGGGGCGATGGAGGGGGAGGGGCCGACGATAACGCTACGCGACCCGCTAAAAATCGCAGTGACAGTGGCATCGCCCCGCCGATAAGCTCAAACAGCCCTGATGTGATTCGCGGGGCCTTCAGCCATTACAGGCACAAATGCATCTCGTTGTCGTTCCAAGCCTGCGGAATGCGTGCGTTGCGAGGAAACAGATCTCAAAATGGCATGGTGTGCGAATAGGAATTTCTGGAACGCAACAGAGCTGTCACAACGACGCCAAACGGTCCACCTGATAACAACCGGACAGCGACACACAGACAGGACCGGGGTCAGAGCTACCCCTACCTGGTCTCACTGTAAACTCCAGCGGTGCCACGCCCGTTACTAGTCTCGTCTCGTCTCGTCTTCGCCGCTTGCTGTCGCTTTAAAGCTGCGGGGTTGGCTCGTCCGCGATCCCCAACGCACGCCTTCACTTCTTTTACTTTTCTCCTTTTTCTGGAATTTGCAGTCAACAGAGTTCTGTGGCCGGTGACTTGTGTGTGACAGTCCCAACACCAACCAGGACACAAGGCCAGACACCATGGCGCCCATCGCCATCTCCCCCGAGCGGGATGCCGGGCCTCTAAACACGCTGACCACCGACTTTGACGACACCATCCGCTTCTACCTTAACGGCACGCGTGTCGTCCTCGACGAGATCGACCCCGAAGTCACCCTGCTGGAGTACCTGCGAGGCATTGGATTGACCGGAACCAAGCTGTACGTCGGCTCAAAAACACCCACGGAGTCTATCACATGCTGACAGCGCACAGGGGATGTGGCGAAGGCGGCTGCGGTGCCTGCACCGTCGTCATCTCCCAGTTCAACCCGACAACGAAGCAAATCTACCACGCGAGCGTCAACGCCTGTCTGGCTCCCCTGGCCAGCGTCGACGGCAAGCATGTCATCACCATCGAGGGCATCGGAAACACAAAGGCGCCACACCCCGCCCAGGAGCGAGTGGCAAAGACAAACGGCAGTCAGTGCGGCTTCTGCACACCCGGGATCGTCATGAGCTTGTACGCGCTGCTTCGCAACAACCAGGCCCCGTCAGAAGAGGATATTGAGGAGGCGTTCGACGGGAACCTGTGCAGGTGTACGGGATACAAGCCCATCCTCGAAGCTGCGCAGACGTTCAGTGTTGAGAGGGGATGCGGGAAGGCGAGGACAAACGGCGGCTCTGGCTGTTGCATGGAAAATGGCAAAGGCGAGAAGAAGGCGGGCGGGTGTTGCATGGACAAGAAGGCGGCCGACGACCAGCCCATCAAGAGGTTCACGCCACCCGGGTTCATCGAGTACAAGCCTGATACGGAGCTCATCTTTCCCCCGATGCTGAAGAAGCACGAAATGAGGCCACTAGCGTTTGGAAACAAGAGAAAGAGGTGGTTCAGGCCCGTTACGCTCTCCCAGCTCCTTGACATCAAGAGCGTCTACCCCTCGGCCAAGATCATCGGCGGCAGCACCGAGACTCAGATTGAGATCAAGTTCAAGGCGCAGCAGTACCCTGTTTCTGTCTTCGTGGGCGATATTGCTGAGCTGAGGCAGTACGAATTCAAGGACGATCACTTGGAGATAGGCGGAAACGTCATCCTGACCGATCTCGAGCACATCAGCCAGGAGGCCACAAAGCACTACGGTGAAACCCGAGGTCAGGTGTTCGAGGCCATCTACAAGCAACTGAAATACTTTGCTGGACGGCAGATTCGAAACGTCGGTACGCCCGCCGGCAACCTGGTGACGGCCTCGCCAATTTCAGATCTCAACCCTGTTCTGTGGGCTGCCAATGCTGTATTGGTGGCCAAGTCCCAAAGCGAGGAGACGGAGATACCCATGTCACAGTTCTTTACCGGCTACCGTAGGACAGCACTTGCGCAAGACGCCATTATTGCTTCCATCAGGATACCGGTCACGGCGTCCAAGGGCGAATTTTTCAGAGCGTACAAGCAGGCCAAGAGGAAAGACGACGACATCGCCATCGTGACTGGTGCTCTGAGAATCAAGGTGGACGATGACGGTGTCGTCACCGAGAGCAATCTGATCTACGGTGGCATGGCTGCTATGACTGTGGCAGCAAAGAAGACCATGGAGTACCTCATCGGCAAGCGCATCGCTGAGTTGGAAACACTGGAGGGCGCGATGGACGCGCTTGGCGAAGATTTCAACCTTCAGTTCAGCGTGCCTGGAGGCATGGCCTCGTACCGCAAGGCCCTGGCGCTCAGCTTCTTCTACCGCTTCTACCACGACGTTCTCGCAGCCATGGATGCCCAGAGCCAACACGTCGACAAGGAGGCCATTGAAGAAATTGAGCGACGTATTTCTGGTGGACATGAAGACCATGACGCAGCTGTTGCATACGAGCAGGAGACTGTGGGCCGGTCCAAGAGCCATGTTGCGGCGCTGAAGCAGGTGACTGGCGAGGCACAGTATATCGACGACATCCCTTCCCTCAAGAATGAACTGCATGGGTGCTTTGTCTTGTCCAGCAAGGCGCACGCCAAGATCAAGTCCGTCGACTACTCTGCGGCCCTTGACATGCCGGGCGTGGTGGACTACGTCGACATTAACGACGTTGAAACACCGGAACAGAACCGTTGGGGCGCACCGCATTTCGACGAGGCCTTTTTCGCCGAGGGGGAGGTTTTCACCGCTGGACAGCCTATCGCCATGATGCTTGCTACCTCAGCAAACAGAGCTGCGGAGGCCGCTCGCGCGGTTAAAGTCGAGTATGAGGAGCTGCCAACAGTTCTGTCCATCGAAGAGGCTATCGAGCAGGACAGCTTCCATAACTACTACCGCGAGATCAAGAATGGAGACACCGAGGAGGCGTTCAAGAATTGCGACCACATTTTCACCGGCACGGCGAGAATGGGTGGTCAGGAGCATTTCTACCTGGAGACACAGGCTTCGCTGGTTGTTCCCAAGCCTGAAGATGGGGAGATGGAGGTATTTTCTGGTACTCAGAACGCCAACGAAACGTAAGTCAACTATCTTGTAGGCAGTTGTCTTCCTCAGGCTAACCGTTGGTAGGCAAGTATTTGTTGCTCGGATGACTGGAGTGGCAGCCAACAAGATTGTCGTTCGTGTTAAGCGTTTGGGAGGTGGTTTTGGAGGCAAGGAAACGAGATCAGTCCAGGTCACTGCACCATTAGCGCTCGCAGCAAAAAAGACCAAGCGACCCTGCCGATACATGCTGACCAGAGAGGAAGACATGGTCACCTCCGGCCAGCGCCACCCGTTCCTGGGCAGATGGAAGGTTGGTGTCAACAAGGATGGCAAGATCCAAGCCTTGGATCTGGATGTCTTCAATAACGCCGGCTGGAGTTTCGACCTGAGTGCGGCTGTGTGCGAGCGTGCCATGTCACACAGCGACGGCTGCTACAGGATCCCGAACGTCTTCATCCGCGGACGCCTGTGCAAGACAAACACGATGTCGAACACGGCGTTCCGAGGGTTCGGAGGACCGCAGGGCATGTTTATCGCGGAGACGTACATGGAAGAGGTGGCGGATCGCATGGGCATTCCGGTCGAGAAGTTCCGCGAGATCAACTTCTACAAGCCGCTGGAGCCTACGCATTTCAACCAGCCCCTCACGGACTGGCATGTGCCGTTGATGTATGAGCAGGTGCAGGAAGAGTCCAAGTACGAGCAGCGGAGGGAGATGATTACGAAGTTCAATGACGGCAACAAGTGGCGCAAGCGTGGGCTGGCACTTATTCCGACAAAGTTTGGTATCTCGTTTACCGCCCTCTTCCTCAACCAGGCCGGCGCTCTCGTTCATATTTATCACGATGGTTCGGTTCTCGTGGCCCACGGCGGTACCGAGATGGGCCAGGGCTTGCACACCAAGATGACGCAGATTGCAGCGCAAGCACTCGAAGTGCCTCTAGACAATGTCTTCATCTCAGAGACTGCGACCAACACGGTTGCGAACGCCTCGGCGACAGCAGCGTCTGCCTCGTCGGATCTGAACGGATACGCCATCTACAATGCCTGCGCGCAGCTGAATGAACGACTGGCGCCGTACCGCGAGAAGCTCGGACCGAAGGCGACCATGAAGGACCTGGCGCACGCGGCCTACTTTGACAGAGTAAACCTCTCGGCACAGGGATTCTACAAGACCCCGGAAATCGGTTACACCTGGGGCGAGAACCGCGGCAAGATGTTCTTCTACTTCACGCAGGGCGTCACGGCGGCCGAGGTCGAGATCGACACGCTCACCGGCACGTGGACCTGCGTCCGGGCCGACATCAAGATGGACGTCGGGCAGTCGATCAACCCCGCGATCGACTACGGGCAGATCCAGGGCGCATTCGTGCAGGGCCTCGGGCTCTTCACGATGGAGGAGTCGCTCTGGCTTCGCAACGGGCCCATGGCGGGCAACCTCTTCACGCGCGGGCCGGGGGCATACAAGATCCCCGGGTTCCGCGACATCCCGCAGGAGTTCAACGTGTCGCTGCTCAAGGACGTGGAGTGGAAGGACCTGCGGACTATCCAGCGGTCGCGCGGGGTGGGCGAGCCGCCGCTGTTCATGGGCAGTGCGGTGTTCTTTGCCATCCGCGACGCGCTCAAGGCGGCGAGGCGGCAGTACGGGGTGCAGGCGACGGTCGGGGAAGACCGGGTGGGTGATGGCTTACTCAGGCTGGAGAGCCCGGCGACACCCGAGAGGATTCGGCTAAGCTGCGAGGACCCCATCATGAGGAGGGCGAGGGTGCTGCCGAAGGAGGGGGAGAAGAGCTTTTTTGTAGCCATTTAGAGGCGGCGCCAAGTGTGCATGAGTGCTTTTTGGAATGAGGGGGAATGGAAAGAATGGGAGTTCTTGAAGGTACATTTTTTTCTTTGTCTCCGACATGATGAGAAAAGAGGGAGCCATGTTTTTCTGTATGGGTTATGGTAGAAAGAACATGGACATTTGATAGGCGCAATTGAATTCGCATAGGCAATGCAGTACATACGGATACACAGTCAGCGAGCAGCGGGTGTCTCCATCCTCCGAGCTACACTTGAAACGGAAAAGCATCACACGATGGGCCGGCAGGGCTGGGTTGTGCTCCTCTTCTGAGGTTGCCCCAAATCGCCAAGTCCAGGCTGTGGCCCGTGAAGGCAAGAGGTTAAAAGATGGGATGATGAGGGGTTAGGTATTTGTTTGGGTCGGCGGGAGGGAAGCAGTAATTGAGCTTTCCAATGTTTACCGAGGGACTCGTCCGTCACCGAGGAGAAGTCGCAGAAGGTGAAAGGCTCTGGACCGAATGGCGGGCTGCGGTTTCATGCTGACATTACATTGCATGCTGCGAGGGGAATATTGACGATCGCTAGCTGCGGCTACCTTACTCTCAACAGGCGACCCCTCCCCAGCGCTGCTGCAAGTTGTTGCATTTGGCTACTGGAGACAGAAGTTTGGAAAAATGTGCTGGAGTTTGGGACGGAGTGGTGCTGTCAGTGGGAAGTGGACAAAAGCCAAGACTTTGACCCCGTACACTGTGCCATCCAGCGGTTCCTTGTCTCTGTCGCTGTCGGTGCGCACAGCGATTGATGTCTGCATTGCGACGGTAGTGTGCCCAAGTTTAGAAGCTGGAGACACAGGTCTGACGGATCGCTGGGTTCCTAGCTTCTGTAGGGCAGAGCAGGGCAGGCCCCGAGGCTAGGGAAGCTGCATTTGATGTCTGTGCTGGCGGTGTTGGCGGTGGTGATGATATCATTTCTGGTGGTGAGGAGTGCGTTACCCTCAACCTTCCTTAGGTCACCTTTAGCTGTTGGGCAAGTGTCGCCGGCGAATGCTACCAATGGCAGGTAAGGCAGGTCGCTTTCCATCATGTGCAAATGACATGAAAATTAGTGGTCAAATCCACCCTCGCCCAGCTTCAATGCGAATTGGGAGTGCTGAGCCACTTGCCGGCACCAACAGGACGAAGCAATCCAATTCATCAACCGCTGCTGCTCGTCCGCAGTCACAGTGGGTCACGCCCAGGGAGGAAGGTTTTCCAGCGGGCAGGTTCCGTGAGGTACCTCTTCGGACTCGCTTTGAGATGCCCTCTCGCTGGACGCCACGGTTTGCCTGCCCCATGACGGTGACGCGACCCCCTTCATGGCGTGCCATCAAGCGCTGGACACAGCTGGCAAGGTACGAATACCTACCTGGAGAGACCTCACTGCAATGGAGCCCTTGTCGCTGCCGACCTGGGGCCTCCACTGAGTCTTGACCCTGCTGGGCTAAGCAGCACAACGTAGCAATGGGGGTTGCGCCCAGCGCTGACCGGCTCTGACCTTGGACTCGGGTGGCCGATCTGCCTGATCTCTCGTTTTTTTCCAACGGAATAGCCGTGGTTGTCGTTGTGGTTCTCGTACCTTAGCCAGCCCACTTTCCTTTGCAAGTCGCCATTCCGGCTTTTTAAATTTCCTTTTTCTTTTCTTTCTATTCTCAGTCAGTCTCTCGTTGCGGAGCCTTTTCTTTTTGGTCTTTGCTCCAGCTTCATCCAACTTGCCGGGACCGATCAGCGACATCGACACCCAAACGCAAATTCCAGCGTGCTGCTGCAACAACAGATACACACACACACACACCCCTCCCCCCGGGAGGAACGCCACACCCTCGGCTGTCGAACCCGGTCACGATCTCGCGAAATTCTTCCACCGAGCGATTTGAACCCGCCCCGAACGGTCCCCCGTCCTCACCGAACCTGTCTCTACCCGGCGCCCACAGTCCGCCACCTGCTGCAACCTGCGACCAGATCACGAGAATCCCTAATTTTCAAAGCATCTGCTCCACAGAGCAGGGCTACCCGAACCACGAGCAAGCCTCCATCCGGCTGCCCGCACACGCATACCTACGCGCGCCGCGAGAGCACGAGCAAACGCCTCCCCCCCTCGCCCACTCGATTTCCCGCCGTCCTTTCGAACCTGCAAACAACCGCCTTCCTCCCCGGCAGAGTCGCAAACCGCAGCAACACGCGCAGGACCACCCCTCGTCAAATGATCTGCGAACCCTCGGCCTCTGCGTAACCTCAAAGGTCCAATGGGAGCGGGAGCCCCATTGAGCTGATTCCGAACCTCGACCCGCCATGGATAAGAACGGCGCCAAGGACGTCAAGTCCGAGTCGCAAGACGAACACAAGGAGAAGCGCGACAAGCCTGAGAACGGCAACCATGTTCAGCCTTCCAAGAGCCCCAAGAAGCGCCGCAAGGTCAATCACGGTACGTCTGCCGGTCTACACACTTCTTGCGATCACCTAGCAGTTTGCTGCTCTCCGTCGTGTCCCCTCTGCCGGCTCCCCCGCTCGCGTGACTACACTAGCTAACCTCTGCTCCCCCTCCCAGCTTGCGTATATTGCCGGCGATCTGTAAGTCCGACTGCCCTTCACCCGACGGACACAATTGGCATTGGCTTCCCTGGCCTTTGCGCATGGCGCTGAGACTATTGTCCGCCTGCGATGCTGCTGTGCGATGCTCCGCCAGCCGGCCAACCCTTGCCATGCATACATTTGCGCCGTGTCCCTGCGCGAGCACCAGCAACATAACAATGCGAAAAGAGAAAAGATGGCTGACGGATAGTGTCTTGCCTGCTACATAGCATATGACCTGCGATCTCGTATGTAAGATCTCTTTCATTCTGCCTTGCGCCCAAAAGCCGACTCCCCCCGCCCATGCTCTCTCCCTCCCTCCTGCCCGGCCAATCTCTAAACTCGACCGCCTGCTGATCATGTCGTGCTCCAGGAACGACCGTGTACGAGATGCATAAAGCGCAATATTGGTCACCTCTGCCATGACGAGCCCCGCGACCCCGACTCCAAGAAGGCAAAGAGCTCCCACGCCGCATCCGCCGTTGACGATTCCGAGTCGACGCAGACCGAGCTCGCCGCCCGAGGCTCCATCGACCAATCCGCGGCCGGGTCCATGGGCCCGCCGCCTCCTTTCGACAGGAAGGCGTCCGCTGCCTTTGGCGCTGCTGTCTTGGGCCAGGGCAACCCGCTGCACCTTGTGTCACCGAGCTCGGTGTCTGGCATGCCGGGCAACGGCAGTAATATGAACCAATGTAGGCTGCTGCTCTGCTACTGAGCTTACCCCTCCCTCTCCTTCGTATAGATGCGCGCGCTTGGCGGCGCCTGTCTCTGAATTGACGAAAACAACAAAAAGCCGCGATGGCAAGGGGGCAGAAGAAAGCTGACTCCTGAAAAAATAGTCGCCGGATTCTCCGACGCGTGGTTGACGGCGCAGAACCACTACCACGACATGCAAAGCTACCACCCAAACAACTACATGATCGCCCCCGAGGTCACGCACGAGTTCAACCTGCTCAACGACTTCCTGCAGACGAGCCTGCTCGATGACGGCGGCATCCTCTCCGACGAGTCCCAGAACAGCCCCGCCTTCAGCAGGTCAGCCGGCGCAAACGACATGCTGCCCACCTTCGGCAACAACAGCAACAACAACGGCGCCGCCAACAACAACAGGGCCACGGCTGCCAACGCGCTGTCGCAGATGCTGCCGCCGCCGAACCTCGAGCAGGGCAAGTCGATATCGCGCCCCGGCAGCGTGGTCCAGGGCGACAACAAGGACAAGGCGCGCGAGTACTACCTGCAGGCCGCGGACCCGTCGGGCAACGACACGCCCGAGGAGCGCATGGACCGCGTGCTCAAGGCCAAGTACGAGGCGGGCCTGCTGAAGCCGTTCAACTACGTCAAGGGCTACGCGCGGCTGGGCACCTACCTCGACAGCCACATCGCGCCGTCGTCGAAGCAGAAGATCCTGCGCACGATCGACCGCTTCCGGCCCAAGTTCCGCGAGAAGGCGCAGGCGCTGACGGACATGGAGCTGCTGTACGTCGAGATGTGGTTCGAGAAGCAGCTGATGGAGTACGACCGCGTGTTCGCGAGCATGGCGGTGCCGGCGTGCTGTTGGAGGCGGACGGGGGAGATTTTCAGGGGGAATAACGAGATGGCGGAGCTGCTGCATGTGCCGGTTGAGAACTTGAGAGACGTATGTTGCCTGGTTCTGCGCACTTGATGGTTTCGTGTTTGGCTGACTTTTGGTACAGGGCAAGATCTCTCTGCATGAGATTCTCACGGAAGAGTCTCTGGTGCGATACTGGGAGGAGTTTGGGACGATAGCGTTCGATCCCGCTCACGATACGTTACTCACGGCCTGCACGCTGAAAAGCCCGGACGACAAGTCGACGGATCCGGTCATCAACTGCTGCTTTTCATTCATGATTCAACGAGATAATCACAAGATGTAAGTTTGTCCTCTTCATCAGTTGCCTTCGCGGGCCGTGTCCTAATCGTCGAATAGCCCTACACTCATCATCGGCAACTTCCTGCCCAACGATCTTCCAGCCCGTCCGTAATTCATTGCATTGATCGAGGGGAAGGGGGCGCGGAGGGCCTTGGGATTGGAGAAACAAAAACTGGGTCGGCGTCAGGATACCAGGGCATTATCTTTTATTTTGGATGTATTCTACGTTTCTGGATGGTGGAACTTGTTCGTCAGGCTTTGAAGTTTCGACAGAAAGGCCAGTATATATACATATTGCCGTTCATCGGGGAAGCACCGGACGCGTGTGGGGTTCTTGCCGGGTTGGTGGGCCGATCTGTGAAGACCCACTTCCGGGCTCGGTGCTTCGAGGCAAGGAAGGTGCATCGTTCATCGTGCTTTCCCGGAGACGGTTGGCAGCTGCCAGTTCAAAATTCGACTTCCCTCTTTCTGCCAATTTGCTGTCCGACGTCGTGACATACAACCTGAGATTCGAATTCTCGCCCAGAT